CTATATGTAACCTCGGGGATGGATTTCCATACCCGTCAATGAACCTCTCAGTGGAAGACTGACCACCCTCCTTCCAGAGGCATGATAAAAAGTGGATGGAGCTACAGGGTCCCTGCTTGACTCCTTGTGGGCCTAAAATTCTGCCAGTGTAGAACACTTGTTCCTTTTTCCTTCTGCCGCCTCCTCCCTTCACTCCCCTCCCTCCTCTCTTCACTCTGGCTCACTGGAAATTTTTAGGGATATCATATATTATTTCTCTTATTTTTAATTTATTTTTATTTGATGTGTATGGATGTTTTGCTTACATGTGCGTCTGTGTGTCATATACATGCCTGGTGCCCATGGAGGCTGTAAGAGGGCATCGGATCCCCAGAATTAGAGTCACAGAGGAGTTAAAGTCACCGTGTGGGGGCTGGGAATTGAGCCTAGGACCGTTGGAGGAGCACCTAGTGCTCTAAGCCGCTGAGCCACCTCTCCAGTCTGGAATCATTTACTGGAAACTTGAGATTTTTCTCTGATTCATGCTTTCAGTTTGGGTGTAACCTGCACAGTAGTGTAGCCACATAGATCCCGTTCAGGTTAATTCCTCACAGCCTTCTTACTTAATCCCCACCAGCCCAGGTGGGGCTCTTCTCACTTGGGCTTTGTTCTTATTCTTTTCTTTCTTTCTTTTTTTCCTTTCTTTCTTATTTTGGACAGGATTTCAAGTACTCTGTGCTGGCCTTGAACTAGCTTGAAACTGAGGATGTGCTTGAAGCCCTGATCTTTCTGTCTCCATCTCCCAAGTACTGAAAACTATATTTGCTGCCATAACCAGGCTCTATATGTATTGCTTATGTCAATGAAATCATAAAGCCTATTGATTTTTCTTTTAGTTAACAGAACTTCTGAGACTCGTAAGGTTGTTGCCTTAATAGTACTGTCTTTCTGAGTGGTGTGGAAGATCAAATCAGGGCCTTGTGAATGTGAATGTTAGGTAAAGTGTTCACCACTGAGCTACATCCTCAGCCTAGGAGACCATCCCTTTCATTGCTACGTAGTATTCTGTTTTACAGATACACTTCTGTTTGATGGCTGTTTGGGCCATTTTTAGTTTGGGTTTCTAATGAATAAAGGTGCTATTAATATTTTTGTGCAGGTCTTTTTGTGGGGAAAATTCTACTTGATAAAATTCCTGGGATGAAGACTGTGTGGAAACACAGATGGATAACTTGACTGAGTAGGAAGACTCTTCCACAGGGCCTTCTGTGCTGTTCCCAGCAATTAGCGCTGTCAGCCTTTATTTTGGCATTCCGGTGGGTGGGTAGGGAGCCTCTCTTACTGCGTCTAAATCTGCACTTCTCTAATGACTGATGCTGTGACCTCGCTCTTAAGTGCGTATTGGCTTCTTGTGTATTTTCTTTTACAAAGCATCTGTTCAGGAATTTGGACTGTTGTAAGATCGTGTTAGACTCATCTCCTTTTATTGTTCTGTGTAGTGCAGTGGATCCTTATTCTAGATACAAATACTTTGTCATTCACGTCTCCTGCAGGCACTATTCTTTCCAGTGTGTAGCTTGTTTTTTCCATTTTTGAAATAGTATCTTTGGATAGGAAGCAATTTTAATTTTGATGACATCTAACCAACTTATTTATTTTCTTTCTTTCTTTCTTTCTTTCTTTCTTTCTTTCTTTCTTTCTTTCTTTCTTTCTTCTTTCTAGTATATAATTTTTTTTTAATTCTCGAAGAAACACCTGCTTGCCCATGTCACTCAGGTTGTCCCCAATGAAGAGAGCAGATAAGTGGTTAACTTGGTGACCTGCGGTTAACTGTTGACATTTTCTTCTAGAAGCGCTTCTTTCCCAGGGTTTACAGTTGGCTCTGTGCACCACTGCCAGGATTTGTGCACAGGGGAGGAAAGTTCTTCTATTTATGCACATGTCCCCATGTCTCAGGATTACTTGTTGAAAGGACTGCTTTTCCCTTTTGATTGGCTCTGTTGTCAATGCCTGTGTTGAGAATTGATTAGCTGCATACACATGTATACATAAGCGTATAGACAAACAAATACATACAAATAAAGAAATCCAATTTAAAATTTTTGTTATAAATTTACTTATTCTCACAGGTTCTAAGTAGATTCTAAGTACAAAATCAAGTTATCTGCAAATATATAGCTCTGTATCTCCCTTTCAGATCCTCTTGCGTTCCTTTTTCTTCCCTATTACACAGTATGGGACATCTAGTAAAACCGCCAAGAGATACCCAGGTTGCTTTTGTCATGGTGCTTATCACAGCAAATGAAAACAAACTAGGACAGAGACTGCTGGGAGGGCGTCAAGTTGGGGTGGGATGAGAGTTTCGTTTTAGAAGCTCAGAGAATGTAATGTTTGGAAGTAGGTCAGGACTCTTTGTTTTTGAGACCTGGCTCACTCTGTGGCTCAGGCTGGCTTCAGACTTGCAGCACTCCCCCCTGCCCTACCCTCTCAAGTGCTGGGGCTACAGGTGTGGGCTCCTATGCCCAGCCCACACTTCAGGCTGTTAGTTTAAATGTTGCCAAAGTCAAGGGCGACATTAGGAAGTGTGGGCTCCCATGCTGCGGCAGTATTCGCATTAAGAATGCAGAGCGCAGGGATGACCAGAGAGAGGAGCCCACTGGAGGTCAGCGGGTCCTCAACCTTCATAACGCTGTGACCCTTTAATGCAGCTCCTCATGTTGCAGTGACCCTCAGCCATAAGATTCTTTTTGTTGCCACTTCACAACTGTCGTTTTGCTACTGTGAAGTGTGATGTGAATATCTGAAATGCTGGTGTTTGAGAAGTGAGCCCTGTGAAAGGGCTCTTCGACCCCAGGTTGAGAACCACTGCTCTAGGCAAAGTTCATGGATGATGGAAAGAAATCCCAGAGAGCGTTGTCACTGAAGACAGGCGAGCATTATGAATGAATTGTTAAGTAATAGAAGATGATTTCCTTAGGCAGGCGTTACATACAGATAATTGACAAACTTGGCTTATATCGATTTACTTTTTAAAGAAGTGGCAAATGACTTAAAAATTATTCAATGCTTTTATCTCAAGCTCTGCTCATCCAGTGCTTTTATGACTTACATTTATTTTTCTAAGGAAGGGATAAATAGGAGTTTGTGTCACGTTCATTCTGGAAATGAGAGACACACAAACAAGTAAGGTACCTTGCATAGGCTGTGTGAGTGAAGAGAGGCCCTATGAGGGGCAGCCGCTAGAAGAAGGAAGCCACCACCCTGCTGTGCCTTTCTCGAGCTGCTTTTACTGCATGCATTGCCTTTGTTTTCTGCCTTGTCACAGTGTGGCTCTCCTGGTAACCTGCACTGCTTGCCATTCTGGAAACTTTGACCTTACTCATATTACTTCATGCTGTAAGGAAAATGGTGACTCATGTTGAACAATTCATTTCCAAATTAGCCTTGAAAATAGGGAGGCAAAAGAGGAGTCATAGTTGCAGAAATAGCATATGTTCAGCACTGATGTGAGCAACACAGGAAAGCATGAGGAAAAGTAGCCACACAAGATCCTGCCACCCAGGGGCAATTGTCATCTGCCTTCCGCCCCTGCATGCATCCCGGTAGGCATGCAAATACCAAAGGATAGATGGAAATAATTTCATGTAATTAAGAGTCTAACATATATGCTACTTTAAGTGTCATTTAAAATACATTTAGATGTGCTTAATTTCACCTTCTAAAGATTAGCATAAAAAAGAACTTTATAGAGAGGATCTTTAAAGAGGCAGTAATTACTAGATGGTAAAAGTACTAAATGCTCACAAAAATGACATAAAACATTGACGTTTTAATGATTTTAAGAAGTTATGTTTCCATATATTTAACTTCCACAGCTTACTGTGACTTGTAATAAACCAGCCTGCCTCTGTCTTGGGCTTAAAGGCCATTTTAAAATAAAACAAACTAGTTTCATTAAATCTGCTTCTCAAGGATTGGGCTGTGCCCCGCCTATAACCTTAACTACAAATGGCTCTGTACTGCCTGTGGTAGGAATTAACAACCATGCCATTGTTTCAAAAGGCTATTGTGACCACCTTGATATGACTGCCTCGTAACCACGTCTTTGTTTCAGGAGGCTGTTATGGCCAACTTGTGATGCTTATGCTTGGCTTCTGTAACCTCGCCTGTTTGCCTTCCATACTCCCCATTTGGAAACTCCTACTCCTGGGCTATAAGAACCTTTTATTCCCTATGTCCAAGGCTATTCTCTTGAACCTCAGCTTAAGAAGAGCTAACCCATGCTCATGAATAACAAAGCTTGCTTTAATTAATTTGGCCATGATTTGGGCTGGTGGTCTTTCCCATCTGTGGGGTTAACACTTGCTGTAAGGGATGAGAAGTGAATGCTTTCTTTTTCCCTTCTTCCCCCACTCCCAGTTGCTCTTTAGTTGTGATTGTATTGTCATATGTATGTACCTTTGTGTTACCTAATCCAGATATTTACTTATTTTTCGCTTAGTATTTAAATGGATTCATTTCTAGTCAGTGTCTCATATATTACAATCTCTGGCTTCGAGTTCTTGATTCATCTTCTGCTCAGTTAGTCGTGCCATCAGTTTTGCTCAGGAGTAGCTAAGGCCACTCCTGAAGTCTTCTGTATTTGCCTAAGCTGAAATTTGTCATGCATAACCCCCCTCCCCCAACAGCTGATGTTTCTGTGTCCTGTAATAGGATTATTTTAAACTAGGTTTAAAAACAGACAAATTGGTCAGGGGGTAGTGTGTTGTGTTAGTCTCTCCTGCCTGTGTGTGGGTTCCAGTGACTGAGTTTACATGGCCAGGTTTGCGTGGCAAGTGCCTCTACCTGCTGAGCTTCTCTGTCCACTCTTCATTGCCATTTTCTCTGTTTTTGTTTCTGCCTTTTTGAATCAAAATCACAGTTTCCAAAGCGTATTTGTGAGTTTATGCGTTGGCACGGCAGAAGTAGCACAGCTGTGGAACTGGGGAGAATTAACTCAGCCTCCTTGCTTTCTGTTCTAGAGATCATTGATGACCTTGCCAACCTTGTGGAGAACACAGATGAGAAGCTGCGCACCGAAGCCAGGAGAGTGACCCTGCTGGACAGAAAGTCAACTTCCTGTGGTAAGAGAAGGCAGTCGCTGCAGCTGCCTGTGGCTTGCTCTTCTTTGAGTGTTCCATGTTGCTTCTAAGACCCTGAGGATGAGCCTGGCCTTCTAATGCAGCAGGCCCATCTGGTGAAGCATCAAAATTGCTCACATATGCTTCAGTCTTATCGGACAAAATAAAATATTGTTAAGGTTCGGAGGGTATCACATTTATTCTTTTAAACCCTGAGTTGGGAAACTTATCTGTTTTATAGAAATGAATGGCTTGAGAACTTGTGTAGTTTGTTGGTAAGTCTTGTACGTTTTCAAGATGGTCTTGTTTCCTTTCTGCTTTTTTATGTATTTATTAAACCATAAGCTTAATTAGTGAATCAGCTGTAGAACAGCTGAGGGCAGCTTCCATCTTGAAGAATGACCAAGATAAAAACCCTGTGTTTGGTAATTCTCTGCTGAGTCACTTTAGTTCTTGATGCATATAAAGCATGGCTCTGTGTGTTGATTTAAGAGTCTACCTGAGGACCTAGAATGCTGATTTCCAGGCCCCCAACCAGAGGCTCCCACTGAGGAGGTCTTGGGTAGGGTTCAAGAGTGGTCGTTATTCATTGTGATAGTGTACCAGACTTGATGGCACATGCTTTTGATCTCAGCACTCAAGGGACAGAGACAGGAGGATCTCTGTGAGTTTTAGACCATCCAGGGAGGTATTGTAAAACCTTGTCTTGAAAATAATAATCCAGGCCTGTTAATGCACGCCTCTAAGCCCAGGACTTAGGAGGCAGAGGCAGGTGAATCTCTGTGAGTTGGAGGCCAGCCTGGTCTACACAGCAAGTTCCAGGACAGCCAGGGTTGTTACACAGAGAAACCCTGTAAAAGAAAGAAAGGGAAAAAAGGAAGGAAAGAAAGAAAATAATGAAGTAAATAAGAAAGAGGCCATGCAGAGGAGTCTAGATGTCCAGATGCAGGTACTTGAGATGCAATTATCTATGAAGTTTGCACTTACCTCGCCTGTGCAAAAGCTTGACCCAAGGTGAGTGACAGGGAGCCACTAATTTTTATTCAGTGCTTTGTCTCATGAAGGTGTGCCAGCTCTATTAAGCTGTTATGTTTATAAAAGAGGAAGTACAGTAAAACTTGAGTGATCTGGACATGCACTTGATGCGGTGTTTGACTTTTTTCACATGAGAAGTGTAGCGACATCCCGGCCCTGTATAAGTAATCCTGACAGAAGTGGCTGACCACATCTTTTATAAGTAAGCCGAGGCCTAGCAAATTCAGGTGTGTACAAGTCATAAGAGACAGAGGTGAGAAGGAACCCACATCCTTTACCTCCAAAGTTTTAGGATCTAGAACGAAGGACAAAGTCCTTGTGGACACGAGTTCTCAAGCGTGGTTAGGCAGAGCGGACACTCTGCTGTGGCAGGAAGCAGAAGTTGTGCTGCAGGAGCAGGTCCCTGTGAGGCTTGGGAACCCAGATCTACCTGACGTCTCCTCCTATCGCTCCCTTCTCTGGAAACATGGTGTAAGCCTCCATGACTTCATGGCCTTTTGCCCTTCACGGCTGTACAGCCAGCACCACAGGCTGCTGCTGCCACGTTCTGCTGCCAGATCGAGATACAGCCTGACTCCTCTTAGACCACAGCTGCAGTAGTCTCTATGTGCCTCTGTGGCTGAGTCCGAGAAAGTACTTCCCTAAGCAGTTTGGGTTAGTTGTTTTTGAGCAGGGAACCCCTTCAGTGAACTCTCGCTTGTTGGCATACTTTTAAAAAACTCTTTTATTTGTATTTCCTATATCTCTTTCTCCCTACTCCACCTCAGTCCCTTCCAGCATCCCAACACCATGTAGGAGAGAGAAAGGGTTGGTGGGAGAGGGGGTGCAGTTCTCCTAGCTGTTTCCTGCTGGTCAGGGTCCTCGGGTTCCTTGGAGCCAGTGCAATCCCCGTTTCAGGAGATCCCCAACTTCTCGTCTCACAGCAGCAACCAGGCACCGTAGGGGGAAACAGAAGCCTTGTTCGTTCTCAGAGCTCCCCAACACTCTCTGGGCTCTGGCATTTATTCTCTCCCCAGAGTCCTCAGATTGAAACTCTGCAGCTGTCAAAGAGCTCTCAGAGCTGGCATGAGGCAGATAGTTTGCTGCTGTAGACTGAATCAGTCCCACACCCCACACCTGGGATTAAAACAAAAACATGTTTATATCCACAACACTCACTTCAGGCTTTCTCTTTTTTCAACTGCTTTATATAAGCTGAAGCCTTAGTAGGTAGGGTGTTGCCTTTAAGCTATTTTTCCTCTTGTTCCAGTGTAAGAGATCGGACTCGGACTTGAACTTATGATCCGTCTGTCTCCATCTTCCAAGTGTTGGGACTACAGGTAGCACCACTGTGACCAGCTTATGTACTGCTGGGTATTGAATCTAGGGCTCTGTGAGTGCTAGGCAAGTGTTCTGCCAATTGAGCTACATTCCTAACCCCATAATATTTCTCTCTAATGGAACGGCCTCTTTAACAATTATAGCTGCTTTGTCTGTACCAACTTATCTGAACTTTAAACTTGCCCTTTTCCTTGCCAAGCTGTATATTTCCACATCATTCTTCTCACTGTAAATTTGACCACAAGCAGTGAGAAACAGCCATGCCACTTCCTGGATGCTGTACTGTTTTGTAATTAACTCCACCAAACAATTTATTCTAGTTCTTTTTTCATTCATCCTCACTTAAAGTCTAGGAAACAGACAAACTGAAGCCAGACTTGTTAGAATCTGACAGGAATGGCCTCTAGTGTAAGTCTCAGTAGGATCCTCTGCAACCTCATGGGCCTGGCCATCACTGTCCATTCTTCTGACAGCGTTCTGCTCACCTACGACCCTCCCAGAGTGGCTGATTAGACAGCATTCTAGGGTGTCATTAGCTCCAGGCTCTTGTAAGTTCTCCTCACAAGCTTTAGGAGAACCCTCAGTCTTTAGGAGAACCACTGGCTCAGGCTTCTCATAGCGGGAGCTCCACTTTTCAGCGCTAGCTTGTTTGCTGTAGTTACTTTCCTCACTGCTGTGATCACATACCTGACAAGAAGCAGCTGAGAGGTGGAAAGGTTTATTTCAGCTCACGGCTGAGGGAACAGCTCATGGGGCAGGGGAGGGGCATGATGTGCCCAGCTCACAGTTTGGTGGCAGGAGCACAAGGCTGTGCACTCATATCTGGACAGAGCAGGAGGCAGAAAAAAGAGAAACACTGGTCTTTTTCCTTTTTCTCCCCCAATTCAAACCCCAACAGTGAAGAGTGCCATTATTCATCCTTCTCTCTCTGCATCCTCCTCCACTGATGGCCTGGAGCTGGTCCCATCACCATGCCTTTCCCCTGTGGTGGTCAGTGTCTCCTGAACATGAGCCAAATAAACCTTCCCTTCCTTGAGTTGCTTCTTGTCAGGTATTCAGTCACAGCAGTGAGAAAGGAACTCGGAAGCCCCCTGAGAAGAGCGTATTTATCCTAGGTGATGACAGAGCATGCGTGCAGACCACAGATGCGCAGGAACTGGCAATGGGCCATGAAATCCATCTGCATAAACCTGCACTATCAGTATGATCAGATACGGAATAAAAAAATTTCTTTTGCTTTAAATATTTGTTTTAAATTTGTTTTTTGTGTGTTGAGGTGGGTGGGTGCCTGTGCCACAATGCGAGTGTAGAAGTCAGAGGGCAGCTTTTGAGAGCAGGTTCTGTCCCTCAACCATGTGGGTCCTGAAGCTGAACTCAGGCCATAAATCTTGGCAGTGGGCAAGGCTTTCACCCTCTGAGCTGTCTCACTGGCCCCTCAATTTTACACTTTAAACTACTTTTATTTTATGTGTATGAGTTTTGCCTGCATGTATATCTGTATGTATACCATATTCATGTCTGGTGCCCGTGAAGGCCAGGAGGGGGCATCAGGTGCCCCGGGGCTGGGGTTGCAGATGGTTCTGAGCATCATGTGGATGCTATGGAGCAAACTCCTGACCCTCTGCAAGTACAGCCAGTGTTTCTAACCACTGAGCCTTCTCTTTAGCCCCTCAGTTTTGCTGTTTAAATTCAAAGGCTTGAAAGGATCTGAACAGAACAGGAAACTATACAAAGTAACATCAGTTATTTGAAAAGGGACCAAGGAGAACTTCTATAAATTAAAAATAAATGAAACTGAAAATTAAGTGTGCATTTTTGGTACCAGCAAAAGAGAACCAGAGAACAAATCGGGGGAAACAAACAAAACCCAACTATATTCTGTTTTCATAAGGGCTAGTATTGACTGCTGGAAATTAATTCTCAGCCTGGGTAACAATGGCATCTGTGGAGCAGAGGGAAGGTCCAAAGCCTCAGAAACAGCAAAGAATGAATCACCAGCTCTTCTCTAACACAAGGCTGAGTTTTCTATGTAAATATGAATAAACACATGCCCGCTTACAAGGTGTGCAGGGCTTTTTGGGAATTAATCCAGTCAGCTCACCCAAGTGTCTCTTGATTGCAGTCCGCATGGCACTCCCAGGCTGTGTAACTAGGAAGCGGAGCTCAGGGTGCAGAGAGCGGCTGGCCCCTCATCCTTTTCCTCAGAGGAGTGCAGAACTAGGTTGTAAACCATGAAATGGTGTTTTGTTTCCCCTGGCGTGTACGTATCTCCCATGCCAGCCTGACATATCAGTCATAGATGCTTGAGCAGGGAGTGGAATTCTAGTTATAAATACAGAGCAGATCACAAGGGGCCACACAGGAGAAGGGCCTGGTGATGAATTTGTTTGTTCAGTTGTTAACAAAGGGTTCAAGCACTTCTTTGTGGACCTTTCACTCCAGAGCCGGCGCTTGAAAATTTTTACTGAGATCTTTGTTGTGTTTTTTCCTCCCTTTTCTTTTCCCAGCCTCGCCACCCCCCACCCCGTGATAACATCAAGTAGAAAATAATGCTGTTTTTTTTTTTTTCCCCCTCCTAGATTGTAAAGGCAAATTAGACTGATAGGTTCCCCTGGCTCCTCGATATATTTTCAGATCTGTTTCTTGTA